GGCCGCTGGGCCGCCAAACTTCACAAAAAATGACAAAATTAAAATAATTTCTGAAAGTGATTTTTTCTTTAGATTTATCGTTTAAATAACAATAATTATCTTTTAAAACTTCATTAAATGCCGTTTTATTGTTAAAAAAAAACATTTTTACAACATTAAAATTTTTGGCCGCTAGGCCCGCCAGGCCGCTAGGCCGCCAACTTCACGCCGCTAGGCCGCCAGGCCGCCTGGGCCGCCAACTTCACGCCGCTGGGCCGCCAGGCCGCTAGGCCGCCAACTTCACGCCGCCAGGCCGCTAGGCCGCTAGGCCGCCAACTTCACGCCGCCAGGCCGCCAGGCCGCCTAGGCCGCCAACTTCACACATCTTCTCTTAGTTACAAATTAATTAAGACTCTTTCCTACAATCTTAATAAAAATATTAATTGACTCTACTTTTACACGAGCAGTATCTTTATCGCAAAGTCGTGGATTTAAATCTGAACTGCATGCAGAACTATATCCTTTTTTCAATAAATGCAAAATTAAACAAAAGTTGGCCTTTTGACGTAATTTTTACTTATTAATAATTGATATTCAAAAGCGGCACATGACACTGCATGTGCAAATTTTTGCAAATGACTTTTTTTACAAACGCGGTTCTATGAAGCACTATGAAAAATATAAGGCGACTATGAACGGAATTTGATTTAGCGTCCAGAACTTTATTTGTTATCCGATGAAAACGCTGACGTAGTGACGTAATTAAGTGCATTATTATGAGGCCAAATAAAGCTTGACACTAAATATGTAAGTATTCACCCATAGCTGTTCTACAGAAATTAGAAACATTCTCCTGTCGTCGAAGTTTATGTATATGTTAAAGTTTATTCGTAGATACTTAAAAAATTAAATTGCTCAGGCACGGCACAGCCACGCGTCTAATTTTATATTGTGCTGAGAAACAGATTTTTTTCTTGCCCTTTTATTTCTTTGTCTTTTCTTCTTTTTCTTCTTCTTTTTTAAATGTTTTTTTTTACTCAAAACACGATTATATCCCGTGAAATTGAACATATTGACGTAAGTTTTATCTATTTGATTGCGTTTGCAAATTTAATTTTTTATAAATTTCAGCTTTGTTTTTCTTGAAACAGGCCTGGTAGTGTTGGAATTGTAAGCAAAATTAAAAGTGATGTACCAAATGGGGACATTATAAACAAGTTTTACATTCATTGAAAAGTGGGAAATAACGAAATTATATTGATAATATTCGTATTTATCAACAGTTCACGAATAAATCAGTAGTACACTTAAAAGCAATAAATATTGCGCAATGATGACTACATACTTGTCTGTACAGCGTTAGCTTAGACCTTACTTTACTGATAAGGCATAAGATAAAAAGAAATTGTGTTGTTTGTTTTTGGTCGTAAATATGATATCACAAATCGAAATTAGAAAACATGTATACGTACCAAACAAAAAGAGGTACCACATGGGGAAATTATTAAGAAGAAAAGCGTGAAATCATATTTTGATAATATTCACTATAAAATTATAATTTAAGTTTCACGGAAAAATCAGTCATTCTCTCAAAAGCTTAAAATAATGCCCAATAAGGGTTACATGTACATACTTGAATTACTTTTGTTTGTGCAGCGTTCGTGTAGCCGTTGAACCCGTGCCACAATGAAAACAGTCGAGAAATAGCTCTTACAATACTAAAGTCAAAGAAAAAAAAAGTTAAATATAAAAATGCTATATAACACAAATCGAATGGAGAAAATTTACATCTGTACCAAACAAAAAATGTATATAATTGATTTAACGGGACAGAACACATACTTCATTTCTGACTTGGGCTTAACACCCATCATCATAACATACAATGCATGCATCAAATCATAATAAATTCAATCAGTAATATTTACATTATAAAAATACGTACAAAACATGATAGTGTTAATCAAATTAATTGAGAATGTCGAAAAATAAATTAATTTATTAATTATATCATATTGATATGTAAATCTACAAAATTTCCCTGTCCTTCAAACGCTTTAATACAAAATATTGCTTATTTTCTTATGACCAATGTCATTTGCCGCCGAATCTGGATTTCATGACTGCAGCGTTTGATCTCTTTCAGAATTTTCTTTGCGCGTTTCTTACGAATTGTTTTGATCTTCGTTATGTCGCAAACCACGAAATCTGACGTTATGAATAGCAATGATAAAACCATAAACAATAGCATTATTCTTCTCCAGAGGTTTTGCACGTCTTCACTTTCTTCATTCAAACTTTGAACAGCTATATCACCTTCAACGAGAATCTTTTCCAACATTTCATCAGATGGGTTTTTAAAGTAAAGACATTTATATGTATACTCAATGTCATGGAACGCGGATGTTACCGCAAAACAAGGCATATACATTAAACAGAACTCTTTTGTTTTAACGATATGCTCTTCAGCTTTCCGAATATTACCTGCTTCAACTTCTGTTATTGCCATTTTTGAATGGAAAACAATTTGCAATGATGTATTATCAACCCCGTTCGTTTCTGTACCTATTGCTTGATGCAATATTCGTTTGCGTTCTTCAACGTCCTTGTATTGCTGAATTAGTAAAACTGTAGCTGCTGCTTTTCGCTCAATGGCAAACTGTCGATCATGGTTCGATATTTCATCACTATTCATCATGATTTTTTCATCTTGTTTGTGCATGAATTGCATTAATATTTCTCTATTATCACCCCAAAACGAATTATTATCTATGCAGCTTTTAATACGTTGGTAGTAATCATGAGTCCGTTTGGAATGAGGCATTTCTATTTGTGGGAGTCTCCGGTAACGAATTGTAAACCTTTTTGTTCTTAGATTAGAGGCGATATCAGTATACCCCTCTTCTTCAATTAGAAAACACATATTGTCATACGACAGAATGGGCAACAAATTGCATAGAAGCTCGATAATTTGTACATACCCAGAATCGTCATGTGTGCTATGTAAATTATTGTATTGCCGTTTATTTATTAAACCGTGTTTTTTCAGTTTTTCAATGAAGCTGCTTATATGAAAGTCTCTTCGTGTCTGATGCTGAAATACCTCCACTATGCACTGGCGTTCCCTCCTTATGTTAGCCATTTAATACAATTGGACTTATCAGTATTTTGATGTATCAAGGAAATCTGAAATGAAGATAACTAATGTATGCTTTCTAACGTTTATTTGTATAACATACTTTATAGTGCAAGACCATTTTCAATTCACTCTTAAGTGTGTAAGACCATTTACATAACACTGTTAAGTTTGTAAGACCGTTTATATTTCACACTTAAGTGTGTAAAATCATTTACATGACACTCTCATTTGTGCAAAACCTTCATATTGCAATCTCAGAATGTACAAGACCATTTATAATTGTTTATACATGTCTTAAAAATAAAACCGGAGGTATTAAACTGTACTTTTACATGTAATATATTTACTAGTAACGAGGCTGTCAAGTCCACTACATGTCCAGGTCTAAATACGTTATCATATTGTTTAAGATGTCACTAGGTAAACATATATTTCTAATATCACACAATTGAAAGAAAGAAACATAACGAAATGTGTCATTGATTTAGTATATGTATCACTATCAAGAACACTGCTTTTTCACTTTTTTATTTTCTATTTTTTTTATTTATTTTTTCATTCTATTTTATTTAATTATTTTTTATTTTATTTATTTATTTATCTATTTTTTCGGGGGGGGGGGGTGGATGTACGTGGCATCAACAAATTATAAGTCATATGACCTTCCAGATTTACTGGAGAAAGAAGACCTTGGGTGCTCTTCCTCGCATTATTTCAGGCACGAACGGTCACCTAGGTATAGATAACTTCCTCACATTTAGGAATCAAAATTCCCTGTCGGGATCCGAACCCATCGCGGTGAGAAGAAGTTGAAGACGCACTAAGCCACGGATGCCCCCTCACCGTTTTATGTTTCTTTTTGACAGTATCATGCTACATTAACATATTGAATATATCTCCGATTTACAATAGAGGACTTGATTTTCTGATTTTTTCGTCGACGACCCGTATCATTTACAGCACGAGCTATTTCAATTTGACAAGTAAAGAAACAAAACGTGTAAAATACTAACCGGTCCTAACCTCCCAGTTTATTCCAGAAAAAATCTTATAATATCCTTTTCCTTTTTATGAATACGCTATGTTACGCTTTGTATATGTAAAAACGACGCTTAAATATTTTATCAGTAAATCTCACGCTAGATTAACCTATATTTAAATATCTGGCTCATCATCCCGAAAATCGTCGGAAACAGCTACTTACATCAATGCAAGTTGACGAACAATTAACTGCAAAATAATTTAGAAAATAACCTTGTACTTTCCTACCATGTTACGTTACAGATCTTTAATGTTATTACAAAATAATTTCTTTATTCAATACAATTATGAACCCACGCATGCCGACACGATCACACGATCAATATTAGAGGAAATTTAATACCCCTGCCTTTGTCATAGATATTTGCAGACAGCAGATATCATTGATTTTATTGTGTCATTCTCCTGTATAGTACGTGTAATATAAGACTTAGATAATGACATTATAAACTTATTACAATAAAGATTTTTAAGGATTTTTAAGGAAGATAAATAAACTTACCAATTCTTTATCATTTATTGAAAGGATTGGTGTGTTCGACACATAATTATTACTGTCTATCACTCACATACAAGGCTTATCTTAATTGAAGCTTGTATGACAAGTATTATGGTACCTATCATGTGATAAAATATAGCTTTATGTAAATTCATTAATGCTCTTTTTTTACACTTATTTTCTTAAAATAAGAGACAAGCTATTTTATAATAACACCTAGTCAAAATAACCATCATGTTGAAATAAAATATTTGTAATAAAATAATTCATCAAAATAATGATCTAACCAACTATATATCATGATCTATATAATGAAATAACAATATAATTATTAAGCTGAGTATGTCATAAATGACAGTTTTAATGTTGGTCATGTTTAGGTGTTAAATTAGTGCTTTTTAACGGTCGATGATTCATTTAAATTTGAACTGTTTATATGTATCAAATTCAATAATTCAATTCAATATTTTATTTGCAATAATCAGCATACAAAATGCCTCTGGCAAAGGTTAACAAACTACAATATATATACAAATAAAATAGTGAAAAACAGAATCTCTAAAGAAAGTCCAACACGGCAAAATTGTAAAATGTTGCAGGCTCGGTTTGATTGAGCCTGTTCATGGACGGTACTGGAAAGTGCAAGTTACCGTCCACGCCTCCTAGCGCCGGCTAAAGCATCACACATGCATCAAATGACATATGATTGTTACATAATCGTTACATCATTGCGAAGCTGATTTGGAGAAACAGTAAAGTATATGACATGCATTAACTTACATATTAATTTCATTTCTTTTCAAAAATGCTTCATTTAAAAATTTCGATACATTCAGTAAAGTTGACTGTTTTCTACTTGACATTAAACTATAAAATTTAGGTAAAGATGGCCATGCTGTGTTTGGAAAATATTTCTTGCGAATTTCAGAATAATGAGTACAGATTAAAAGAAAGTGGTATTCACTTTCAACAACATGCATTGTACAATGTTCACACAATCTATTCTGTCTATCTATACCTCGATAACGACCAGTTTCTATAGCTAGATTATGACTGCTTAACCTAAAGAATGCAAACAGTTTCACTAATTTGTCACTTTTTATTTTGTTAAGTTATTCCTCTGATTCAAATACAGTTTTAAATTGAACATAATAAGATAATTTCGGCAAATTATTGATTGTCGTATGCCAATGTTGGATAAATTGATCTCTCAATCTTAGTGACAAAGTAGGAAAATAGTTTACATCTTTATTAAAATTATCCCATATATCATTTAAACCAAGATTATACAATAGTTTTTTTACAGAGAGAGCCCAATTTTGATCATTATTACCATTACACTCAGTAGAAAATAACTTACACATTAATGACTCTGGATTTGATTTTTATTTAGTGTAATATTTGAGAGATTTTTCTTGGCAAATAACTGATAAGAGGAATCCCCCTCATTCACCTAAAACAGCGTAATTTGGAGTCTGCGATTTCACACCTAATATGGTTTTGCAAAATTTTATGTGAATCTTATCAACCTGTTTAGGACAATATATTCCCCATACTTACAAGCAAAATTGGTGCAACTAGGGAATCAAACAGTTTAAGCTTCGTTATAATATCGACATGTATTCTTGTAAAAAGACTTAAAAAATTGTACATTGCCTTTAAAGCCTGATCAGAAAGAATTTTAGCTGTTTTAGCAATGTTACCATTTGAAACAAAAGTCACTCCTAGATAACAGAAACTGTCTACAATATCAATAACAATATCATCAATGTAAAATTGTCTTTGCTCTCGAGATTTACGTTTTTCATTTCTTTATATTGATCTTAAGACCCCATTGTTTCGAATATTCATATAGTTTACATAGTTAAGGTGATTCTGAAAGTATTAGGATCGGTAGAAAATACAACCATATCATCTACAAAAAGCAACATAAATACACATAATTGGTGAAGATCATAGTCTGATAAACTATTAAGGTTAATGTTTTTGCATACATCATTTATGAAGAGTATAAACATTATCGTTGAAAGTGGCTCTCCTTGTTTCAATCCAATTTATATATCGAAAAAATCTGAAAATTTACAAGCATTTTTAACACATGACGAAACTTTTTCATATATTGCTTTTATCATATTCACCATTTTACTGCCAATTCCATCTTTTAACAATTTAACAAATAATGCTCCTCTATTAACTGTATCGAAGGCTTTTTCGTAGTCTATAAAAGCACAATACAATTTCTTTTTATCATGTAACACTTTTTGGATAATACAATGTAATAAAAATATACAATCGGTTGTGCTTTTTTTATCTCTGTAACCAAACTTATTTTCACAAAATATATCTTCTGTCTCGCACCATTTGTTTATTCTGTTTCTTAAAACAAGGGAAAAAAGTTTAGCCATGCTATTCACAAGAGAAATACCCTTGTAATTACTAGGATCGGATTTATCACCCTTTTGTAAATTGGGACAATTATCCCCTTGGTCAAAGAATCAGGATAAACCCCTGCATCATAGATAATGTTAAATAATTTAACTAAGTATGGTGTAATGAAGTCTTTAGCGTCGATAAAAAATTCGGCCACAATTTTATCCGTTGATGCAGCTTTATTTCTATTGCATGAGGAAATCGCTTTTAAGATTTCATCTTTGGTGATATTTGTATCTAAAAAATCTACATGAATTTCATCTAAGTTTACTTCTAAATCATTCATATCTGTGTTTCTTGGCATGTTACAAACTCATCTAAAGGAACATCGAAGTTTGTACTCTCCTTCTTATTTCGGAATTTAATAATTTTCTGCCAAAATTTAAGAGGTGATCTTTTAAATATTTATAATAAAATAATTCATCAAAATAATGATCTAACCAGCTATATATCATGATCTATATAATGAAATAACAATATAATTATTAAGCTGCGTATGCCATAAATGACAGTTTTAATGTTGGTCATGTTTAGCTGTTTAGGTGTTAAATAAGTGCTTTTTAACGGTCGATGATTAATTTCAATTTAAACTGTTTATATGTATCAACATGCACTGAAATAATGAGCATTCACTCCTTATCGGAGCGATAGCGTTTGCGCGATAAACGTTTAAATAACAAGCAGAACAAAATCCATGAGCATAAATATCTTCCGGGTCTGGCTAAACCTTTGAAATATGCAAAACGCTCTAGACATACGTGTTTTTTACGCTTTAGTTTATCTAATATTTCCACTGTTTTCGATCGATTAAACCAGAATTGATGCGCTTTTGAACTGCATAATACTCTGGCGAATTCAAATTTCAGGTTTTCGCACCAATGTGTGGTAAAGATGAAAGCTCAGTTATGAAGCATTCAATTTATGTTATTTAACTATTGACATATTCTTAAGCGTCTCTAATTGCAAGCAGTCTCAAAAAAGAAATCACGTGATTGTCACGTGTTTATACTTAATGCGTCCTTTCATCTCAATTTATGTAGTTTGTAGCTGTGAAATTTTATATCTCTGTCATAAACGCACAATCTGAGTACAATAATATAGTCCAGTTTGAAACGATGCACTTTTCAAATTTACATTAGTCATAGTTCACTGATTACTCTTGAGAAATACCCTCCCTATGAATGACCTGTAATATATTGTAACATGCCTGCACATTTTTAGAGCTCATTGTTCTTTATGTTATGCCTCAAATGATTCATATTTATCTTATCACATTAGTTTATAAAGACGACGTGGAATTGTTAAACTCCAACACTTACTGTTGATGCGTTGTATAATTATCCTTTATTTGTCATGTCCGTCGATAAAACATTTTAATGAAATTCTTAAACGTTTTAAAACAACCAAATCATCCTTAAACGTAGCTTGTATGATTATAATAAAGAACACGGTAATATATGCATATGTATAGTCATTAATAAATCCAAGATAGTTCACTCCTGAGGTTATGCGTATCTTATTTATGTCTAGTTATATCCCTTGGTTTAAAAGATTTAAACATTTTAATCAATTTTCAAATTACAATTTTGTTTCTGTTTGATTAAAAAAAAATTATGCTTCTTGCTGTAAATTCACATCTGCATATCATATGTATCTGATTCGTTTTGCGTTCGTTTGTTTTTGTTTGTATTTGTTTTTGTTTGTTTTTATGCTGTTGTTGTTGTTGTTGTTGTTGTTGTTGTCGTCGTCGTTGTCGTTGTTGTCGTTGTTGTTGTAAAATCTTTTACTCTGACCGAGAGTGGTAGAATGGTTATCCTTACAGCGGTAAACATATTTATCAACCATTTTCATACAGACCCCCGCCTCAATGAAAAGCCTCTCACCATTAATGAATGAGAAAAGGGGTTAGGTACGGTGGCATAACAAGAGAATAGAACATCATTTATTCATTACGTGCGCTTTGCTATGCGCGTCACGTGATATGTATTTGTATTACGTGGTTACATGTGCACGCGAAAGCTAGTATATGACGTGCAGGTAGAATATAATACTTATTACGTAACACTTGAATAAATCGTACGCCACAAATTTCACCATATTAACATAACGCAGTAACATGATTACTTTTAACAAATGTATTTGGCGTAAATTGACCAGTTCAAATGTAACAACTAACTATTTGAGACCCGCGATTACAAAACCAGCATAGTGCGTTTACGACCAGCATGGATCCAGACCAGCCTGCGCGTCCGCGCAGTCTGATCAGGATCCATGCTGTTCGCTTACAAACCCTATTACAAGTAGAGAAACAAATAGCGAACAGCATGGATCCTGATCAGACTGCGCGGATGCGCAGGCTGGTCTGGA